TTATGACGTGAAAACCTGAAGAGTAAAAAGTATTATTTAACAATTAGTTAAAACAGTCCTCTTCTATACACTATTCAGAAGGTTTGTCAGAGTCACCCATTTAACTTCAAAAATTAATGGATTCAAACTTGCAAGAATTGAACACGGATCCATTTGTGTCGTATTATCAGAGCTCGCTCTGCAGTTTTCAAACTACTAACAATGCACTATTGGAAGAAATTCTTCAGAAGAATCACTCATGTGCATTCTTTACGGATCGATCAATTTCATGCTTGTCAATGCACAGTACTGCTTCGAGAGAAGATGGGTACACGTCGATAGATGAGTTTCGAGAAAAAGTTCCATTGACAACTTATGAAGACTATCGTGATTATATTGATCGAATGGTTCTCGACGGAGAGAAGAACCTGTTATCGTCCGAAAACATAGTTTATTTTGCTAGAAGTTCTGGAACGACGGCAAAATTCAAACTCCTTCCTGCGACTTCGACAACAATGAGAAAAGTTAGCGAGTCAGGGCGCTTGGGAACTCATATTATACGGAGATCATTACCTTCTTCATCATTTTCGTCTCCTAAACAACGATCATTCGTCTTGCAAACTGGGAGGAAGCCTGAGATGTTTCAAAGATCAAAAGACGGCATACCGATCGGTCCTATTAGTCAATATATGTCAGCTGTTGCATCCTTTCCTCGAACTCACACATTGACATCCACTAATAATATCATAGCACTGGATATTATCGAAGAAATTATTGATTTCGAGACATGTGTATTCGTTCAACTTGTTTTTGCACTTGTGAATATGAATATTTATTCATACTCAGTCACTTTTGCTCCAGGACTTATCCACACCGTCAAGCTCATTGAAAATTATTTTGAAGAAATCAGTCAATGTATTTCGACTGCCAGTTTTGATCATAGTTCGCTCGTTCGAAAGAATATTTCTGATTCAGACTTCATATCGACCTTGAACCAAAAATTGAACGAAGTAATTGTCGAGCATGGAGGAGAGATGTATCAATTGGCACGAGCACAACATATTCGAAATGAATGTTTGAAAAAGAATGTTCCCGGTATTTTCCATCGTCTTTTGCCAACTCTACTTTATGTTTCGACGGCGATAGGAAGCACTTTTAATATGTACAAAGATGAGATACAATTCTATTGCGGAGAACGGCTACCTTTAATTAATCTGCTTGCCTATGGTGCGAGTGAAGGATTTTTTGGTGTCATCGCAAGTATTCACACTGACGAGTACGTTCTATTACCAACACATGCATTCTTCGAATTCATCAAAGAAGAAGATATTCCTCAAGTAAGGTGCTTGAAATTCGAATTTTAAAATGAAGCTTTCACTTTCCGTTTACTTCAGAACAGAGCGCATTTAGTTGAGCAAGAACATCCATTGTTTTTAAATTAAATGGAAAATTTTCATGAGTAATACCCACGGAAAAATTTTTGAGCGAAAACCGCGGTTTCACAAATCGCGGTAATCAGCCACTTTTCGAAACCGCGAAAGTCAGACCTTTTCTGCGGATTTTCAAAACTGCCACAAACCGCGGTAATTTCACACCGCGGTTTTCGTCGGTATTCAAAAACCGCATAAAAGGTCTGACTTTCGTGTTTTTCTAAAACTGCTGAAAATCGCGGTTTTTTGAGCCGCGATATACCGCGGTTTCTATAGCCACCCCTGACTCATTTATGACCAGAATCACCTGAACTTCGGCAAAAGTTCAAGTGAGCTATTCTTCGAGGGGCACTGCACAGCTCACACCCGACTGCTCTGAGCATTGCAATTTATGGAACGAAATGGCTAAAGCTATGAATTGGGATTACGTAAGAACAAAGGCAACATTGATAGACGAAAATAAAACGTTTTGTCAAAATAATTGAAAAAGAACAAGAAATTACACTTTGTCCTTGATTTTACTGTACAACTACGTTTTACCCAAAAACATGGAAAAAGTTATATTCATGAAATAGAATATATCATATCGGATCATAATTATGAGCGCTATCTTTTGATTACGAAAAGTATTTCAATCTAAGGGATCATCGAGTAGAAATTTCAAAAATACTAAGAGATCACTTCTATGCTGCACTATTCGTCATATCTAATTATTCTCTTCAACTCTAGTTATGTAAAATCATCGAAAATGAAAAACTTCGTTCGAGTTCGAGTTGTAGGGATCTTATGATATCTTCCAAATCTAAGCTATATTGCCGTCTTTGACTATACCTTTTTATTCTGTCTTTACTATGCTAATTCTTGTTCAGACTCAACCAAAAACTCTTCTCATCTCAGAGATCGAACCCGGACATCGATATGAATTGGTTTGTACAACCGACGCTGGATTGGTTCGATACAGAATGGGAGATGTCATCAATTGCACGAGATTCCTTTGTCGAGCTGATGACTTGGTTGCACTACCAGAAAAACCAGTCGAAATTCCAAGAATTCCTCTCATTTCACTCGCATATCGTGTTGGAACTCTTTTGGATATATTTGGTGAGAAAACAAATGAACAACATGTGATCGATGCTCTTCAACAAACTATTTGCCAATGGAGAGAACAAGGTATACCAGTTTACTTTTGTGAATTTGCGTCGTATCCAAGATTAGATGTATTTCCGGCTAGATACGTTATCTTTCTGGAATTGATTGAGGATGAAGGACACAAGATTAATGCACAACAATTTCAAGTTCTCAAGAATACCGTCAATGCACAAGTCGACCAACAACTTTGCCAAGCCAACCCAATTTATAAAAATACTCGGATTTCAGCAAAAATTGGACCACTTGATTCCATTCTTGTACGAAGTGGAACATTCTCGACTTTTTTGCACAAATTCTTATGGACCGATCGCGTGAGTCCTGTGCAAATCAAACCTCATCGAATGTTGAGGAATGAAGAACACATTAGATTCTTTTATGACAACCAAATTGATACATCATCTTTCTAATCATGACTCTTCCTGCAAAAAATAACAATCGAATTGATTCTCCTTGGATATGTCGATCATTTATTTTAGATTTTAATAGTGATTTGTTTGAATTCATTATCGTTTATTTTTTTTTTCATTTTACAACAATAGAAGAAGTAAATATATTATTATTTAAACTTTCCTAGCCATTCTGTTCTAGCTACAAAAAGATTCGATATTCAATATCATTCCCAATAATTGACAATCTAAGACTAGAGAGTTTGCGGCATCAATAGTGCCACCAATAGCACCACTGTCGATTGTCATTGTTTACTGTTATACTAAATCTTTTCACTGTTGAAACGCATTTACCACATTACCCAGGCCATCATTAAAATTTGCTCGAGTGCACCGCTACTTTCTAACTATCAGTCAATTGGTGAAATCCGTAAGAACCTAGACAATGTGAACCATTATAAATTTTTTCTTCAACTTAGTTTAAATAGAAAAATAATATTATAGTACTCGACACACAAATTTCGCATTTCTCTCTAGTACTTTGCTATGTCTCTGAACGAGACTTCGACGATTCTTGTGAAAATCTATTATGGACTTCACCGTACTTGATTCATTGCCTGAGTATGGTCTTTTTCAGAAAAGTTTTCGATAATTGTTAGAGGTTGAGTGGGAACAGTTTATTCGTGAGCAATACCAAACAATTTCCTCTTCATATACACTACATAAGTAGGGTGTGTCTATGCCTTGAGTGTGGATGTGGAGGTAATGTTTGAGTATGGATCTTCTCTTCATCCATATACTCACTGAGATGCAGACCCAGGTCCAGACTCAAAACCACCCACATCCTATATAGAAGAGAACCGTTTTACGTAGTTCTTATATTATACTTTCTACTCTCGAGGTTATCAGGCCATAAATGTTGTGATAAACATAAAGAAGAAAAGAAAGATCAGGAAAAGACAAGAAAAAAAAATGAAATTTCTATCAACAGACGAGTTTCGTTTTTATCTTATAATGAAGAGTTGTGTGCTGTAACCTAAGAACATTGGATATATTAGAGTTAAATTAAAGTCCCCACTAGCACACTAACAAATTTAAAATATAACGTCCTTATGACGTTCCTAGACTGAGACCTTTGAACCTTAAAGTGCCGACTATGTATGTATGCTGTACATAGTTCAAAATTTTTGAAGATTTTTTTTATTGTTTATGCTGATGGTTTGATCGAGGGTGTGGGTGTGGGTGGGTGGGTGTGGGTGTGTGTATGGGAGTGGAAAGAAGACAACACCCACACCTACAACCACACACCCACACCCACACACACCCTGTATAGACAAACTTTTGTAATTTTGTGGATTTCAACTTTTTCCTTTTTTAAATTCAATATTTTGCTTTTAGAATATTTCGAATTGTAAGCATTTTATAGATGCTTCTGTAAGTGAAAAATCTATCTTGTTTTCGTTTAAACTTCCGTATAAAAAAAATGACATGAATGTAGTTCAAATATCGAAATCAAAACAATTCAAAATTCATCAATAAGTTATTGAACTGTATATTATTATCTTTTTTTACTTGTTTATATTTCAAAAATGAACATTTTACAAGAAAGACAATTATGAACAAAAAATACTGAAATAGAATCAATCACATGGATACAACTTGAAATTTGATTGTTTTTCTTATATTATACAATATATTTTGAATTTCAATTATTCTCATTATTAATTGTTGGTCTTCAAATATACTTTCCATTACTTGTAACGTTATTTTCTTCAATTGATGACATGTATTTGTTAATTCTATCCATTCATAGACATTTAACAATTTCTTAAGATTGTATTGATTACTGATGATGAGATGAACATGTCGAATATTGTGAATTTTTGCGATAAAATCAGTTGTTAACATCAAAACACATGATTCATGAAAGTCCCGACATTCATACATTGAAAATAAAGGAAGATACCTAACATCAAATAGAAAATATTCTATTGTATAATTTCCATGATATCTCGTAGTGAATTCATTGATATTAGAATGTGTACAAAGTGGTCCAGCACAACGAATTTCGAATCGTTTAATTGAACTCCAAAATTGAGAACTGATACCACTAATTGTATGAAAATTAACTTGATCGTCATACCAAAGACAAAAACGAATTAAATTAGGAAAATATTCTTCGTATTCTTTGATAAAATTTATCGATTGATAATTGAGAAGAGTCAATGAGATAACATTTATAAAAATAATTGACGAATTTAATTCTTTTATTTTTGAGAATGAAACATCATTAAGATGTAAGGAAATAATATGTTCAAGTTTAATTTTTCGAATAATCATATTGATAAATGTATAAGAAGATTCAGAAATATGTACTTTTGTTTCATATTTATGTACGAAAGAAAGAATATTATCGGAAAATGCATTAATTGCATCATTTAATGAAAGATATTTAGTTATTTCAAAAATGACTTCACAACAAAGACCACTTTTATTAGTAAAATCGAATGACTAAAATGAAATTATAAAAAAACAATACATATGAAGTTCTTAAATATTTATTTGATAAAAGGCAAAGAAGTTATTCAAGACTTACTAAAGCTTGTTCATTTTCATCGAATTCTTCCTTCAAATTGATTAATTCACATAGTAAAGTTTCACAAGTTGATATTTCTTGAGTACGTGTTAATGTATCACCGTTGAGCAATAGTTTTATTTCATAATCTGATGTTAATGACCAATCTTT